TGAACGGGAGTTAAACAGAAGAACAGAGAATTCCGATGGGGCTATAAAAAGACTTAGGTCATTAACGAGATGGGATAAAAGTGTTCTTACATGGTCATCATCTGAGTCAACGGGATGTGGGGTGGGAAGTGCCGGGATAAAGGCAAGTTCCTTAGCGTTGCATGCCGGACTACCCACTGTTGCCTCAGACGATGACCGACCATTTATTGGCCTGGGGGATGGGAAGGTGTCACTATAGTATTTCTGCCACTGAAGTGGCTGCTGGCTATAGCTGATAGCAGTTGACTCGAGTATGTCATCATCTGCATGGCTAGAGGTGCTATTATTTTGTGAAGCTCGAAAAAAGATGGGTTTTGCGGGGGGTTCCAGAGCGTAGATTCTTCATAGAAGGCTGGATAGGTGTTACTTATGCTAGCTTTAATGTCATAGCTAGGGTGGGTATAAGGTCCCTTATTCCGAACGCTCAAGGGGATAGTTTTGGGTTTATTCACGTTGGGTTGTGAGCTGAAGTACGTTGGTGGTGCACTGGGGTTATATTCCTGGGTAGACGGAAACTGCACAGTGGGATGTGACGAGAAAAACCTATCATTATTTCTTGAAGCCGTATTCCCCAGTTTAAGTGGCTTGGCCTGTCTGTGGTGCTACGCTTTACTCGCGCTCCCACAATTGAACAGCTGAACCTTATTATGGCTGGATGAGATTGTCTTATTTCCTGTTTCTGGGCAAGGAGTGTTTTTATGATTATCTTTGTATGGGAATGAACCAACTTGAGAGAGATTCATGGCGCTAAGTTCTTAATTTTGCTGGGTAGCATTGTTTGTCGTTAAAACGTTTAGATTTCCAAGACGTTTCGCTTAGGGATAATGCATTCAGCAACAAAGCCGAAGAGGTGGGTTGCACAGACTGGTCTATCTGTGCGGTATGAGCGGACTGAATGACTTGGGATCCCTGTGGTTCATCACTAAGATTTATGTTGTCATCTGGGTCTATGGATATTATATTAGTGCATGCTGGTGGCATGGAGCCAGCATTTCTTATGCTCCCTGCTGTATTTATAAGTTCTTCACTGGTAACTAGGGGTGTAAAGATCAGTGAAGTTCTAGTTAGCTTGTCACCCTCACAACTCGTCGACTGCATTCCACTCTCGGTATCTCGTGGTTTTAGCGAGACTTGAGAAGTCAGTTCACTACGGAATTTCCGTTTGCGACGCTGACAAGAAGTTAGGTCAGGAGATATCTTAACCTTGTTATATGGTGTTGTGGATGCTATAATTCTCTGAGAGTCAGAGAAGCGTTTTGCATTGCACGGCGAGTTAAACTGAAATAGAACAGGACATGGGAACCCGGTTGTTCGTTTCCTCAGACGACGAACAATACAAGTTGAGTTAACCAAGCCGCACGCTTGTAAACAATCAGTCTTAACTCGCCCTAGTGGGGAACTGTCAGGGAATGTTGAAGACCACTGAGTTGTAGGAGGACAGCATTCGGTCGCTCACCTCACTGGCTGCAAAGTCAACTAATCTCTCGCATTTCATTAAACTATCAAGTGGGGAGTCACTTTTGGGGTCTAACAAATCCATCAGAGGGGGGAGATATTCCATTTTACACTGCATATTTCCAACTGCCTTTGAGATTTGTAGAACATTGGTCTTGGCCTTATTGACATCGCTGCAGATGTCAGTCATAAGGTCTGGTAACTTAAGTGACAGACCGCAATCGCTGGTGGAACTTCTAACCTTAGGCAATAGATCAAATAGTTTTAGCCTTTTCGAGCTAATACTCTTATTTCTACGGAGGACACTGACACTTGTTTCCATTCTCAGAAAAGCAGGCAAGAAGCGTTAGAAATATAAATAATTCTATTGAGTTAGACAAATAGTTAACGAGTTGAATAATAACATAAATTAGATATCAGTTAACTTCAACAGAGTCGTGGGTTAAGCAATAACAATAAGTTTCCTTGCTAGCTTATAAGTACTTTCCAATAAGTGGGTGACAATCCAACTGTCTGCTGCCTCGAGGCCGAGATGGATATAGGTAGCTTCAACGTTTGAAAAACAGGCTCAGGGCTTCTTTCTGTTACCTGTGGTCTAAGGTTTGCAGAATTTGGAGGGAGATATGTACACCCTCAAGAGATTCAGCTTTCTCCAGGAGGCAGATAGCAACCAGAAGCAGCAAAAGGACAGAATTTCCTTGAACACGAGGGAAACGAGAGGTTACGTCAGGTTCGTAAGTCATCGGCGAAATTCAAATATTCTAGGTTCTTTTTCCCGGTCCAGCGTATGCCCATCTTCTCGCTCCTCACTGTTTGTTGCATGATCCAGTCGACCACAAACGGGAAGATCATTGGTGATAGAAGGCAGCCATGTCTTACCCCTGTCTTTATTTCAAAGGCATCTCTTAGCTTCCATTGTGAATCACTCTGCATATAGCATCTCCATATAACTGCTGAACGAGGTTGATAAAGGTTTGTGGTATTCCGTAGTGATGAAGCGGTTTCCAAATTACCTCTCGGTCGACGCCGTCAAAGGCCTCTTCAAAGTCGATGAAGTTGAGGTAGAGGGTTGACCGCCATTCTATACTCTGTTCTATGATGGTGCGTAGGGTTGCAATTTGATGCACTCATGATTCATTCTTCCTGAAGGCGGCCAGCTTGTTCTGGTCGTGGTTTTGAATCCAGCGCATTCTTCAGTCTCTCCAGGATCATGTAGCCTAATACTTTGCTTGGAGTGGACAGGAGCATGATTCCGCACCAGTCCTCACAAACACTTAGGTCTCCCTTCTTTGGGAGTTCGAGAGCATAGCCCATCTTCTAATCAATGGTTAGGTAACTTTCCTTCCTTCCAGACCTTCTGCATCAGTGGTGTGAACACGCTGTTGCCCTGCGTCTGCTCTCAGCACCTCTGGCGGGATTCCATCTGGTCCGCTGCTTTCCCGCATTTCAGTAGCTTTATGGCGTTCAGGACTTCTACTTTTATTGGAGGATTTGTGTTCACTCATAGCTCTGCGACTGCAGGTGGTATTTCTGGATGAAGTGCAGGCGATGTTCTATTCAAAGGCTTTCTGAAGTGGTTAGCCCATCGTTTCCTTTGTTTCTCCTCTCTGGTAATTAGATTTCCTTCATCCTCTCTTATTGGTTTCATCTGAGTTGATCTATTCCCTCCCAGATAGTAACCTGGTTATTTGATCCAATGTCGTCAGGTCTCTGTCTCTGCTAATTGCAGCCTGTTTTGCTTCACTTGCCAGTATGTCGTGGAAGTGTCTTTTGTTCGCGCTCACTCTCCTTCACTTCTTTGTCCAGTGTAGTGTTTCATACATTGTACTCAGTTCCTCTTCTCGCTGTTTATCCTTGCACTGGTTTATCTTCTGCTTTACTATCCTCCTCTCTCTCAGCTATCAGCTTCCATGTGTCCTTCGAGATCCATTCCTTATCTTTTTTCTCCTTCCTTCCTAGTACTGTTAAAAAGGTTTCTTCCCACATGGCTTTCAAATAGCTCCAGTGTTCTTCGGCACAAGTTTCTTCAGGGATGTTCCTCGATATCTCATATTTTGTCTTGATGGCAGACGCGAAGATTTTCTTTGTGGTTTCGTCCTTCAGTTTCCGAGTGTTGAACTTGAGCTGTGGTCGACCATCGACCTCTTTGAGGGTTTTCAACTTGATTTGGAAGTTCCTTGCACTAGATAGTGGTGTGAACCTAAATCTGCTCCTTTTCTTTAACTTGTGCCAAGTAGGCCGCGTCTCCGCCTTCTTGAGATTGAGATGAAGCCGATCTGACTTTTGGTGTATAGTGTCCGTCTGGTGAGGTCTATACGCTTTGTCAATATCCGTATGCACAAACACAGTGCCTCCAATTACCGAATTGTTGAACGAGCAGAAATCTGCAAACAGTTCTCCATTCTCATCCATTATTCCACCGAGTGCTTCTCGACCCACGGTTAGCTGTCTTCCTGTATTGTCTGCTTCCAGTTCGGCATTCATGTCACCCCACCCATTAGAATTTTGGTGCCACCATCTTGGGTGGGGTCTTATCCATTACTGAATGCAGTTGTCTGTAGAATCCCTCCTTCTTCTCTCCATCTGCATTGTTTGTCGGCGCGTAGCACCGAGTGATTGTGACTCTCCTTCCTTTTGAGTTGAATCTTGCTGTTATGATGCTGATCCTGGAGGAGGAGACTGATTCCCACTGCATGACAGCCTTCTATGTTCTTGGGGACATCATGATAGCTACTCCCTCCGTGTGCTCGTGATTGTCGTCTGGGTGACAATATCGGAGTAGATTATTGACTCTCCAGTTGACAGTTTAGAGAGCCCACTTCCATCCTGCCTGCTTTCGCAGATTCCTGGCACTTCTATTTTATACCTTCTCATCTCCTTGGCAATCCGGGGAGCCTTGCTATGTTCATACATTGTGCGGACATTCCATGTCTCTATTCCTACTTTCGCTTTCGTCGAGAGAGAGAGAAGACATATCTGCCAGTTGGCCTCTTAAGGCTTTCACCGAAGGGCTTCATTTCGTATCCTTTTAAATAAGGTTCAGGGACTATTTCAGTTCCAATGGCCTACATCGAACCTTAAAAATCAACGTTATTCCTACAAACTCTTAGCTATCTTACTTCAATCCTCGTTATATTTGATACTTACAATTTCTGTTTTGACCTACGCAACTTGTCGAATAACTCTTTCGTGGTAACTACACTTATCTTACTCTTTGAGAAGATGCTTAATGGCTTCAAGTTTTAGTCTACAATTTCAATTCAAGTACTCATGCTGATAAGAGTCATAAATGACTCCAATCTTTCCAACGACCTATGGCTTTCTAATCATCTAAATGAACAAGTTGCAAATCCCAGGCAAGGATAACGCTTACCTCTTGTAAAAGTGCAGAAAAGCAGAAGGTACTCTACAGTTCAACATGGGGCAAAAAGGAACAGCGAGGAAGAAGTCTTGCAACATTAATGTTGGATTTTTGAAACGAATGTATATAAATGGACTCTAAATTTATGTCTCTAGTTTCTAAGAAGGTCATTAGAAAAGAAAAATTTGGAAGACATTTGAATGAAACAAAAAGAAGTGTCAGTGAAGTAAACGTCACTGTGGTTTTGTTTTATTGTCCTAAAATTTATTGTACTGAAAGTGGTTTTAAAATTTACCGGTTGAAAAGTGCAACTTGTTCTCGTCTGTAAGGTTTTACTTGCCGAGTTTCTAGACTATGTGTACTGGTTCTATAGAACCAAAAAATCTCAGTGTAGCAATAATTGACTCACTCTATGAGGCGATTTTATGAAGAAGTAACAGATATATGATCACTGTATGAAAGAATTGTAATATATTGACCTCTTTTTGATAAATACAGTAACCGTGATACATTCTAATCTACTGGTGTGTGTTTAAAGCATTAATTTACCCTGAGTTTTGTTTGTGCCACTATTTGGATAGGTTTCTTTAAACCATTCTATAATAATTATTTTTTTCCCTTCAGTCTGTAATAAAGTTACGTTTCAAGAAGTATCATTTTCTTGATCACCTATTACAAGGTTATCACTTTTATTCGGGTGAATTTAGAGTCTGGATGTGTTAAATGGGTGAAATTTGAACTGCATATACTTTTATCTGACTTAATCATTTTTTTGGCTACTACATGATTCCTGCCTATGTTTTGCCTAACTATTTTCGTGTACTTCAACTGTTTTGCAATATTTAAGTTCCAGTTGTAAAACGTTTTGGTGATCATGTGAATACTAAAACGGAGTTTTCCTACCTAACCCTTTTGTAAATTAGTGACGCAAATTAATGGTTGGACACAGTGACTTTCGGAAAATTGTTTGATTACTTTATGTAGATTGCTCATGAGACAGACAAGCGCTAGTAAAAACTGTACGCGTCTTTCCATTATCAACTGATCACGTGTCTGAAGATAGACTACTGAATTTTTTCAATGTGACTTGCAAAATATCACCATTCGAAACTTTCTCTCGGTAGATATCTCTTATGAATGCATGGCTAACAATGCTTTTACTGCACCTTCAAAACCGTCTGCGCATACATTTATCTAACTAGCTAACCTAACAATAACTGCTTACTGACCGTTTGATTGGGAATAATTTTGCGAAATAATCGGAAGTTGTTGTTTAAGTACTGGAAATCTGTTGTACTTAATGATACTGCTTCTAAAATCTGAATGTTTTTCGAAACAGAATACCTGTGATATGTTTATAAAAGAACACCACAGACAACGGTTAATACTTCTTTCGAATTTTTTCGTGTCTTCATATGTCCACGCAAGCCTATGAACAAATTCTTATCAGGTCATGTATTAAGGATTGAAATAATAGTTTTCATTGTTATCAGCCATTTAGGTACTCGAGGATGATCGTACTGTGCAATTTTATTTCCATAAGACACTTGATTTCAAGACCCTTGACAATATATACGTGATAGTCTCGCAGTCTATGGTAGCTACTTTGGAACAACCACACCTGAATCTCTATTTGTAGTCGTTGAAAGCTCACAACCCTTTGAACATAAAAAACAAAATGAAAATAAAATAAGAAGCAAATGCTACAGTTACGAAGAAATTATCGCTGTCATTATGTGACAGTGGTGAAGTATAAAATGTGTAACTTTTTTATATCAGAATCCGTGGTTTATCTCAATATATCAGCTGTTATTTTTAGTTCACATGTCCCTAAGATGTCGTGAATAGTATTATGGTGTAAATTTATTGTCACTGAGTCGCTGAAGACTGAACTCCCACTTATCAGTGCTTGCAGGACATGATGCTTTTAGTATTCCATCTAAGGTTAGGTGGATAACATCTCTTGTCGACTTCTTGTGTAGAAATAATTCACTTATTTATTGCAAGCTGGTGTGAATTTCTTTATCTTGTGATGGTGGAAAAAAAATATAACTCATAGGGGAGCCATAAAATTCATGTATTGTGACGCCACCATTTATAGTCCAGTTTTTCTACGCTAAATCCCACACTCTATTGACGCAAACACTTCACTTATTAAAAAGCTGCACGTGATTTCTAAATAGTACCGAAGTATTTTATTTTTGTTCAGCCATAGTAAAATAATTCAAAACTGATGGTTCTTTCAAAATTTAAAGTTGCAACCAAATTTATTTCACTGTGTCTTACTGAATAGTTCAAACATGTAGAGCAATTTTAAGACAGAGTAGATGCTTTTAACTTGAAAAGATCAGTAGAACACTAAAGACGGTATTGTCATGTCTTTCCTTCATTCGAAGGAAACAATTTGTCGTAACGGTGAATTTGCGGAAGTAAGCTGAGCTACATATCGAGAAAATATTATTTGTAGAGTCCTAGAACGTGTTAAAAAAGGTTAAGTAGATCGTAAGAAGAGCTTTTTCCAAAAGCCTGAGTAAAGATGATGAAAATCTTTATGTGATGTTTCATAAGGGCCAATATCAAGCCTTCGAAAAATGTTTCCTAAAATGGCATACCTTCATAAAATGATGCTAAATATAACGAAAACTCGTAATTGCGAAATTCAGGGCGAAATTTTAAAAATGCATTTTTAGTTAAGTAGGTTAAAATGAGTCACTTTTCATTGACCAACATTATTTATTATAGAGTGAACGTTCAGAAAGTTACTTGAGTCTTAGGAATTATGTAGACAATCATACGTGGATCAATTTCTTACCAACGGATATTCATAAACATACGGACAAAAATTTCTGTAATGTTATTGCCATTGGATGGAAAATGAATTCTTACCAGACCTGCCAATGTATACTAGAGAAATGACAGTTTTACTTGCAAAATGAAGAAATAACTTTGAGTAATTATATGAATATTACTTGATTGTGGCGTCTTCGGCACATCACAAGTTTGTTCAGTGAAGCTATATACTGTAAACCGCTTATGATATTAGCTTATCAGCAGGGATGTTGCTAGCTTTTTTGTAAAATTACGGTGATCGATTATTTAAAAATATCCCAATGTTGGATTTAATGTCTGCCAGACCACTGTACACCTCTTCATATGAAATAGTGGGCATAAGTGGTAAACTTTTGTTGAGGATATGGAAGCAAAAAGCTTTAGAATATAACTAAAGGTATTCACGAATAACTTTTGCAAGTTACTGTACAGAAGACTAAATATTTACCATATATAGAGGTTGCAAGGTGCTAGTGATGAATAAGATGTAATAGGTTTTTCCTACATGAATTAAGTAGAGTGAATGTGATGACGATCGTGTGTTACGTATGCTTGGCCGCCATCTGCCTCGTCACACAATGTTGGCCGAATTCGGTTCAGGTTGGAAAAAGGTTCGGGCGAGCAGACTAAAACATGGCATCAAGGCATAAAGACCTTGATTGTTCGTCTAAGCTATGAAGGGTGGTGCAGACTAGCGGGTTGGGGTCCGCGGGGTAAGAGAGACCAGTGGTTGAACAATCTAGATGATATGGCTTAGAATCGATGTCAGTGGGCGGATGTATATGCACATTGTCTCCATCTTAACCGATATGCTTAATATCATCATTTTCTCACTCCTCTTTTCTATCTCTTACTACTTTCTGCTTCTTTTGACCGATTCTTCTTCCCCTTTACATCTTCTATTTTACTGCCTTGTTACTTAATGTGGTCGAAAGAGATGCGGCAACTTGGACAGTAACTAAGTGATGCCTGGTCCTATGTTGATCTTGATAATGATGATGATTTATACAGATGAATTGGTTAAAACCAATACTTACATTGCAAGAAGGCATCAAAAGTGGATGCGAAACGAATATAAATTTTATGCAAAGCAATAACTCAAACTTATAACCTTTCTGTTTCCAGTTTTGACTTCGAGAAATTAAAAGATTTGCATGGAGATACTTTTGTCATACTGATATTTTGAACTAAGATGATGCTTACAGACAGGGAATGACAGCGGAATGACAAAATCAACGTAGAATCTCTCACTCATGTCCGTCATCTCAGCTTGCAACAATTTAATATAGTACACAAGGAACAGGTGGATAGAAAACGATTGATATCAAAGTAACAAATTTGTGTGAGAATAAACTACTTGAAGATAATGGTTAGTGCAAATATTCAAGCATGAGGAGATGTCAAGGAATCAGTGCATCTGCGCCATCGTCAGTGATTTTCAGCCATGTCAACAAGAGTCCTCCATCACTGATTCCTTTCATCTCAGGAACTCTGACCAGGCAGTCTACATCTCCCAACACAACTCATTTAAGTCTTGAGAAACTTAATGGACTGGTTGCAGGGCTTAGTTTGGCCACCCTCAACTCTCTTCCAAATTAATTCAACTTCCCTGGCATAGCACGTTGAGGTAGGCGATAGATCGCATCCACATTACATATCTAAGCCATCTCAATCTGTGGTGGTTTGAAAACTCATCAGTCGACTTTTCTTGTATGTTACCAATATTCCGTGAATCACTCAATTTGTCCATTACTCACAGTTTACACTTACTTTGTGATATACTGCCTTTTGACATAAGAAATTCCGTATTTGTCATTTACAGATGCACATTTTCAGCACTGTTATCATATAGTGTTCAAAACAAAATACGATTGACCAGCAAACAGTTAATCGGTATGGAATCCGATGACAGTTATGAAACAGCATCGGTAAATCTAAAAGCCGATACAGAATCTGACTTCTCTGATAATCAGACCAGCGATCATAGTAGTCTTCAATATTTCAGAGAAGCGAATGATTCAAGTTATGATGGTTACCTGTCAAACACAGAAGGAACAACTGATGCTTGTGCCAACAACAAAACTCACAGTTTTGCACAAAAGTGTAAAGGTATGTTAATTTCCACTAATACCAATATAGTTTGTTTAGAACAAGGGAAAAAAATCAAACGATTAGAACAAGAGCGTATTGGCTTTCTAGAACAAATTGCTGATCTCTGTTCATTACTAGAAAAGAAGCAACAAGAGCTGGTTGAAGTTTTGCAACTATCAGAGGAGAAGGCAAAATATCATGCTCACTATATGACAGAGGTTTGTTTTACTCACTTATTCTGTATTCCACTTAATCTTTTTGTATGCATAATATCGAAACAACTGCATAAAGCATCAGTTTAACAAAGACTGCTGACTATTTAACATATGAATTCAGAATGCTCATGAGACAGTTTTAAGATGTTATAACTCTAACAAGTATTAACCTGTTAGATGTCGACTATTTTATATCAGATCAAAGTTTCAGACTTGTTCTTCTACTTCATACCATTGGTTGTAAAATAGTATTGTTCACTGAATGATTAGTAGTAGTGATGGTCATACCTTTGAGGTATAATCTCTTGAGACGATTCCATTATGGCATCGTATTTAGATGAATTCAAAGATAAATTATACATCATTTGCCTCTATCAACCATAATGACACTTGTAGCAAACTCATTCGAGTTATTTATAGTATTATCACGAAAAAATGTCGGTCTCTTACTCAGATTTAGTTAAGTTATTCGCTAAATTAGAACAATGAATTTTATGCTGAAGATGATAAACCTGTTTGTATCGATGCAATTAACTTTTATTAACACTCAATCGATAGCTATTATGTCATACTGATCATAATGTTTCACTTCATTGAAGATGTTTTAGTGACTCTTATGATAATTTTTGGTGAATGTGGAGTTATTGCACTTGAGTAACTTCGATAACTTGTGTTTAGTGCTGTAAATGTTTTCTGTAATATTCTTAATGTAATGTACATATTTCTTGTGTATATCAAAATTTACAAGTTTACCGATGACTTCATATTGCATTTCTGTTATAAAGATAAGATATCATCGGAAAAACAACTAAATGAGCAGTCTTGTGTGATCGTGAAGTAAAATGTATATTGCATTCGTCTAGATAACATGGAAATATGAACTTTTAAAATTTTATGGGTTTCTTGGGTTGGTTTTCATAACTCATTGCATTAGTTAAGAGCTACTGAAAACCTGAGAGTATTGAATGGCTGCTTAATCTTAGTGAGACACTTTTATGTAGTGTGCACCTGTAACTGTGTGAAATGAGCCAAGGAACATCAACTCTTTCAGTGAGTTTTAATTAACTAATCTGTCAGAATAATATTTTTATATGATCTTTGAAACATTTTTTGTGTCTCAGTTATTACAACAGCTTACAAAATCATGCGGACTCTACCCTTTCTATACACTGCTAGAACGTTTTATTTATGAGAAAACAGTGTCATTTCGGCTGTATGATAAAATTGTGATGATAATTTTGAACCATACAGATTAGCTTTAACCCTTTGTATAGGTCATTCATGAAGGTATATGTAAGCTATATTCGTATAGCCGTTCTTAAAGTTAAAAATGCTTATTTATTGCGAATTCTAAAGATTAACATATATGTTATATATGGTACTTCAGTTCGTTTTATGTCGTCCTCAGTGACGACCTGAGTTCTGAGTGAGTTGTGAAATTGGATAAGGCCTAAGTATTCACAATAGCTACAATAGTGAGTCTGAAATACAATGATCAAGACTGATAACATCTGAAGTAAACATTATTATTACCCTAATTAGGAAAAAATGAAATACATTTTTTGGAAAGTAAGTATGTTATTGTAATTTACTTGGTTATGGGTAGCGGAAGAATCCAGGACGCGCGTTTTGTCCTATTTGGGATTCGTCGGTTGAATGTACCTTCATCCTATTGAGTGATGTTATTCCCGTCAAGACTCGAACTCTTACCCTAATTAACATTCAGGCGATATTAAAACATCTGCATAGGAGCCCATATGCTAAAAAAGGTCAAACAACTCGATCAAGTAAAACAAAGGAGAATCACGAAAACGTGCATAAATTATAATAAGTATGTTATTATTTGAAAGTATTCTAACCAACGATGGAGTGGATTGTTTGGAAACGTTTGGACACCGAGTTAATGCGATTCATCGTAAAAGGTATATTTTACTCATGTAATCCCAGTGTAGTATACTAAATAATAAAGCAAACAAATATGTTATTATCGTTCTGTAATCTCTTTCAAAGATGATAATTTAGATGATGTTAACCAAAATCTATGAACCAATTGACCTATGACGCAACACCACAATTTTATAATGATTCAAAAAGCTTATAGCTTTTCGTAATAAAAAATTTAACGTTTTAGTCTGCCTTTTGTCTAATGTTTCATAAACGTCTTTCTCCATAATTACAGTCCGCTTTTCCTAAGCAACATGAAATTATAGATTAAACTGAACACTTAAACTGTTTTAAATATCTATACTGGGTGATGATGATTGAAGATGAAATGTAAATTTGGACCTCAGCCGAATTTGAATCAGCGACGACTGGGTTTCTCGTACGATGCTCTACCAATTCAGTTACAAGGTCCGACTGCTGAACAGCTTTTATTTCACTCCAATCACCATGGGTTTTACCCGACTGCCATGTGAATTTGTGATGCGTTACTATAGCTTGATGGTAGTCAGAACTTTTCATCTTAATCCATATGTAACCGAATTAGAGAGGAGAGCATCATATTTACTATCATTTTAACTAGTATGTGGTATAGCCATAGTTTGGCACACTAGTATTGATGATTGGAGGTGAAATGAAGATTTGGACTGTGGCAGGATTCTAACCGGAGACCACCGGTTTTACGGCCTGATGCTCTACCAACTGAGCTACGTGGTCCAACTACTGACTAGATTTTTATTTCACTTTAAGTGCTTATAGATTTTACTACCTTTTAACCTTCTTTTCAAACAAATTAATTATTTAGGTAAGCAGTTTGTTAGCTGAACTAGGAACTTTGTTTCCTGAAACTTCAAGTGGATGTAATGCTGAAAATAAGGCTTCAAAGAATCATTTAGAAGTCTATAACAAAAGAGAGCAATCCAATTCAAATGAAAGTAAAAACACTAATCTATCTTCTACTAATTCATCGGTAAACGGTAATTGTACTTTTGAATTACCAAGAGATCATCATGGTCGTACTCTACTCAATGCATTGTCTGCTGCAGTGAATGCTGCAAAGAATATGTACAATAGGAGACCGTCAAAAAATAATTCTGAAATACTACAAATATCAGGTAAGTAATATATGGTAAAAGTAATATTTCATATGATTATAATATATACTCTATATACATTGAAGTTGACAGACAGATTAATCGATTAAGTGTTCATCAACCTTATTGTTTATAAATTTATTGAAAATGAATTATTTATCATGATAAACACAGTTTTAATATCAAGTGATACTCATCATATAATTTGTAATTGAAAGCGATATAATTTATTTAATCTATCTGATATACACGTTAGAAGATAACTTATATGTTGAATAATAATTTTCACTGTATATTTATACGAAAATCTAGTGATTAGTTATCGAATTCCAACTTTCCTTTCTATATAATGAATGATATTCTGACAGTGTACAACATTCTTTTCAAGTCAACATTTTTTTAATTGATGACTTCATAAGTCTGTGTTGTATACACCAATCGAATAACTCTTAGACTTTTATATGACTTTCGAAATACACCAGGTGGGTAAGTCTATCCATTTTCTAAGCTAAAACACTATCCAACTATTATGTTACATAACTAGTTCGTAGTTGGTTTTATTCAGGTGTTTTTTATATCACTGTGTAAGCAATGTTGAGATCAGGCAAAGAGTATTAGGAAAGATAGACAAGTCAATTGATGAGGTTATGAACCTTTACGGACTGAAGTGGTTCGGATATATACAGCGTATGCCGATCAATTGACTACTCAGATTGTTCCATGCTAAGGGAATTTGGGTTAATTTGGAAGAGAGTTGAGGGTGGCCAAACTAAGCCCTGCAACCAGTCCATTAAGTCTCTCAAGACTGAAATGAGTTGTGTTGGGAGATGTAGACTGCCTGGTCAGGGTTCCTGAGATGAGAGGAATCAGTGATGGAGGACTCTTGTTGACATGGCTGAAAATCACTGACGATGGCGCAGATGCACTGATTCCTTGACATCTCCTCATGCTTGAATATTTGCACTAACCATTATCTTCAAGTAGTTTATTCTCACACAAATTTGTTTACTTTGATATCAATCTTTTTCTATCCACCTGTTATTTGTATACTACAGTGAATTGTGACAATTCGAGGTGATGCACCTACATTCGAGGTTCTACATTGATTTATTCAGTTATCATTTATATCCAATTGACAGTATGATAACTGGATAATTATATAGAAAGGAGATAGTACCTGAGCGAAACTCTGACGTGAAAGCTAAAATTTTAACTTCACTGTGTCACATTGTATAGACTTAAACATGACAGAAGGGGTGAATGGAGAATAGAAGTTAACCTAGTGATTTCCATTAAACCAGTGATAAGGAAGAAGATTGGTTTGGGTTATTATTTGCAATGGGGAAATATGAAAAGGAATAAACAGAATTCTGAAAACACCACTTTCAGTGACTCTGACATCTGTTACGCATGTCGTTGCAATGGCTTTCATCCCGTTAACTGTTTGCTAGCTCTGGAACTGTATGACGTGGCGCCATGGGATGAAAGATATTTGTATCGGGTTAGCATGTGTCGGTACATTACGACTCTCTGGGTGGGTCCTGAGAGATCATGCAACTCAGTGGCTTGAGACGCTATCAGATATGACTCAGAATCAAAACCTGCGGTGTATGAACATATGCGCTAGCGAAAAACTTATTTGGTCTTGAGAAAAATCTTTATTTATTGATATCCTTGGAAGATTTATCTGGAAATTATCCAAGCGGTGAACGACTTTCAGAAGCTAGTCATTGTTCAAGTTGCTTTTAGATGTATTTATTAGCGAATGTATTGTTACACAGCATGATTGACAATCGGTTATTTATTCACAGGCAATTCACAATTAGAAACTGGGTCAAAGAATATGGCATCTAGACAGGACAGCAAGCTGACGAGTCCCAAGTAGGGTGGAATACGAGTCCTGGATAGTCATCATCATAAAATTGAAACACAAATGATATCTAGGCCTCCCTGGAGGAATCCATATGTCACTACAGAACAAACAGCTTGATTCAATCAACAACGGGATAATACAGGTTGTAATACAGTAACATCTAGTAGCTTGAATTTCCAAGTGACTGAGAGCAGTGAAAATTCTTGGAAGTAGTTGAAACATATGATAAGCGTTTTTTAATATCACGTTTAGATGAATTGTGTTTCAGGTAGAAATTTTATGGTGCAGATGCATTTCTAATATCCCAGTAAAGTTAAAAGGTGAATTTCTCTATATTTGTTTGACATATGAGTTGTTTTTTCGCCTAGTAATAAAGCCTTCCACATATGAATAGATATTACACACTCAACTCAATAGATTAGTTTAAAGATAAGTAAAACAACAACAGTTATTGCGTCTAGATAAGGTTGTGTAGAAGAAAGATAACGATCAAATGCAAAACAGAATGATGACGTTATGCTAAACGATGGTTTTATAAACCGCTTGACATTATGGTGTAGCCTTATATGGAGGTTGAGTCAACACCATGTAGTCTGTATGCATACAATACAGTGTATTTAATGAATTCACCTTGTTTTAAATGCTAACTCATATACAATGATAGCAAGTTTGTCTCTTTGGATTTCTCAGAGCAGAATCAAGCTCTATTGGCTTGTTTATTCTATTTTTATAATATTGACAAATTGAAGGCAAGTGACCAGCATCTTTTTAGGGCGAAAACCACCCATTATAAAGTTTTAAAGTTTCTGTCACAGTAATTCGTTGGTTGTGGTTAGCAGAAGAATCCAGGATGCACGTTTCATCCTGTTTGAAACTTGTCAGCTGGATGTATCTTCACCTCAGTGAATGACGTTTTTATCACTGAGACTCAGATCTTGCACCGTTCACTTCAAACGCCAAGGCGTTATCCACCAGGCAAAGGAGGCACGATAGCCACTTCTTGTACAACAGGTGTTTATTATTATTATTAGTCCCTTGGGTTCCTAGTGGAACATAGGGCTTCAGTAGCACGTCTCCAATGACCTCTGAGATCTTTTGAACCTGGTCCCACGACAGCCCAGAAGCTCTCATTTCCTCCTCGCACGACCTCCTCCATGTCACCCTTGGACGCCCAACTCGTCGCTTCCTATAGGGATTCCGCTCGAGGCACTGGCCTGACACGTGATGTCCTCAGTCGGCCTTCTCAGTGCATGGCCAATCCATCTCCACTTCCTCCTGCATATTTGTTGGGTGATAGGTTGTTGGTTGGTTCGTTCCCAGAGTTCCTTGTTGCTTATTCTTTCTGGCCATCTGATCTTCAGTAGCGAGCATAAGCAGTTGTTGATGAATGTCTGTAGTTTATTGGAAATGCCTTTCGTGACGCGCCAAGTCTCTGAACCATACAGGAGCACTGACTTGACGTTGGTGTTGAAAATCTGATCTTGTTCCACATGCTGAGTGCAGAAGATCTCCACACTGGTTTCAGGCTAATGAACGCCTGTCTTGCTTTTCTGATTCTGACTTTGACGTCCTCGTCCGTCCCGCCTGTAGTTGAAACAGTGCTTCCTAGATGGGTGAAGGAGGTTACTTCCTTTAAGTTTCTCCCGTTGACGGTGATTGGAGTTTGTTGTTGTTGTTGATGGTGGTGGTGCGGTATCTTCATCACTTCTGTCTTCTCTATATTCACTTGAAGTCCCGTCTTCGCTGCCTCTTCTATCAACTTGTTAGTTTTTGCCTGAAGATCTTCAAGTTTATGTGACATTAGGCACAAGTCATCGGCGAAATCCAAGTCTTCTAGTTTCTTTTCCGCCGTCCAGCGTATCCCCCTCTTCTCGCTGCCTACTGTTTGCTGCATGATCCAGTCCACCACCATCAGGAATATCATGGGGATAGTAGGCAACCTTGTTTCACTCCTGTCTTCACTTCAAAAGCATCACTGAGCTTCCCATAGTGAATTACTTGGCATGTGGCATCTTCATATAGTTGTTGAATGAGGCGGATAAAGGTTTGCGGTACTCCGTAGTATTGAATCAGTTTCCAAATTACTCTCGGTCGACGCTGTCAAAGGCCTTCTCAAAGTCGATGAAGTTGAGGTAGAGTTGAGTTGCTGCCATTCTATGCTCTGTTCTATGATGATGCGAAGGGTTGCAATTTGGTCTACACATGATTTGTACTTCCTGAAGCCTGCCTGTTCCGGTCGCAGTTTTGAATCCAGTGCATCTTTAAGCCTCTCAGGATGATGCGGCTTAATATTTTGCTTGCATTGGGTGGACAGGAGAGTGATTCCGCGCCAGTTCTTGCAAGCACTGAGGTCGCCTTTCTTCGGCAGTTTGACAAGGTAACCCTTCTTCCAATCAACAGGTACCTTCTCTTCCTTCCACACCTTCTGCAATAGTGGTGTGAGCATGTCCGCTGTTGTCTCTGCATCTGTTCTCAGTGCTTCTGGCGGTATTCCATCTGGTCCTGCTGCTTTCCCGCATTTCAGTAGCTTTATGGCGTTCAGGACTTCCATTTTCGTTGGGGGATTTATGTTCACTTGTAATTCAGCGGCTGCAGGTGGTATTTCTGGATGAAGTGCAGGTGGTGGTCGATTCAAGAGTTTCTTGAAGTGGTCGGTCCATCGTTTCCTCTGTTTCTCTTCTTTTGTAATTAAATTTCCTTCTCATCTTTTATTGGTTTCATCTGTGTTGGTCTCTTCCCTGATAGCAACCTGGTTATTTGATACAATGTCGTCAGGTCTCTCTTACCTGCAGCCTGTTCTGCTTCACTTGCCAGTGTTTCGTAGAAGTGTCTTTTGTCTTTGCGTGCACTCTTCTTTACTTCTTTGTTCAGTGTTTTATACATTGTGCACAGTTCCTCTTGTCGTTGAGCATCCTTGCACTGGTTTATCTTCTGCTTCACCATCCTCCTCTCCTCTATCAGCTTCCAGGTATCCGTCGAGATCCATTCCTTGTCTTCTTTCTTCTTCCTTCCTAATACTGTTGTGCAGGTGTACAACAGGTGTTAGTTATTACTATTTATTAATATACTTGTAGTGCTCCATTCTTTTATTGGATCAAATTGTTCGGCCTCTATTGGCATCAGGGTTCCTATGCGGATGCCTCGATAT